GCATGTTCCATCCGCTCTTTATAAAGTCTAAAATTACAAGATGCTTTTAGCTATGGCTTTAGCTCCTTTGGAATTCTGGAGCTGTCAAATGGAAGAGAGAGCGTTGTTCATCTGCCCCTCCACAAATGCCAGAATGATTGCGCTCACTCTAATGTTCAACAGGCGAAACACGAGGGGGTAGAGCTCATGTTCACAAAAGTGCGAACAAGTTGACAAACGATCGTTCGAGGAACTCGTTCAGGCACACCACTGTTCCCAATGTTCAGTTTAGGGACCTGTACTTGTCTCAATCTACAGTATACATTTAGACCACCATCTTAAAAATTATACAGTAAGCTATCACATTTATGCAGACGACTGTCATGTGAATTCAAGCCCCCCCCCCCCAGCTGGAATTCTTTCAAGGGAAACACTGTCTATGGTCTATGTCCATGATTGTTTATTGGCAAAATGAAGATGGTTTAAAAGCTATTTCCTTCATCTTAACAAAGCCAAAACTGGAGCTGTTCATCTTTCACCAGAACCCAAAACCATGGTACAAGGTGTGTGGCGAACAAGCTTTTAGTTTCATAGGAACCAAGTGATGGATCAAACTTCCTCTAGCCCAAAGTTTCAGTTTTCAAAATGTGCCAGAAGACACACTTGTTTGGGCTAGCATTTGAAATGTGGTATTCTGTTGACAAAGGTATCTTAGTACAGCCTTTTAGCGATGTCATGATGGATTTCTGGTGTTGAGTTTGTTTCCTAAAACTTGTACGTTTTTATAGGTGCCTTATAAACAAACTTGACTTAACTTAAAGTATAAGTGAAATAGTTTTTGTACATTAACTGTAAAATCTGTTCACTTGTTTGATGGTGACATCTGATCAGACTTAGTGGACTTTTACAGCTTTTGTTCCGCATAGTTTGTACTTATTATATCCAGTTTTTCTTAGGAGGCGTTCAACTAAACAATTACCTTAATCCAGTTTCCCACAATAGTTAAAGGTTGTAAGGAAAGAGTCTGATAAGATTAAATAAACACACACACACACACACACACACAGAGAGAGAAACCTGAAAACAAAGGAAAAGTTCTAACTGAACATTCTGTGAAAATGGTGTACAAAACTCAAACCTGTAGGAAAGAAAATCCAAATCCTCACTGGTTCGTTTGTTGTGAATGAATGAAGGAGATGTATGAAATGGGGCATTAATGATCATTGTTATTGTGCAGCTCAACCATCAAACAACAATGCAGTTAGAAAAATAAAAGGCCATGACGCAGCAAACTGGTAGGATATAAGGGAGAGAAGCAGAGGACTCGACGCTTCACCTGATCGAGAAAGGACGTAAGTTGTCTCAGTTATCTTTAGTTTTTGTGTTCATTAGAAAATGACCAGTTTTTAATTATTGTTGAATTTTTAACTTTTTAACTGAACAAAAATGATTGTTTGGATAGTGATATGCAGTTTTTTTTATTGGTACAATTAGTTATGTTTTTGGTTTCTTTACTAATCCTGGTATTTTTACGTGTTTTAGATCTTCACTCTGCAGCCATGAAGGTTCTCAGCATCTCTCTGGGACTTTGCCTGGTCCTGACCATGATTCCAGCCGTTCCCATAAACTTTACGAATACCACTTACAAGAAGGGCTCTCCTAAAAAAAGGAACTTCTCTACCCACACAAAGCCCCCACCTACTAAACCAGACAACCCACCTACCCGTACCAAGAGCCAATTACCTCACCCTGATAACGTACCCACTCACAATGACGTTACTTTTTCTGCCCACCGAAACCTCTTTCCCCAGACAGAGCCTCTGCCTACTAAACTAGATATTCCACCTACTCATACCAAATGTCAATCAACTCACCTAGACAACTCACCCACTCACGTTAAGCTTGCTGTTTCTAACCAAAGGAACTTCTCTACCAACACAGAACCCCCGCCTACTAAACCAGATAACCCACCTACTCATATCAAGAGTCAACTACCTCACCCTGATAACTCACTTACTCACAATGAGGTTGCTGTTTCTGTCCACCGGAACATTGTTCCCTACACAGAACCCTCACCACTTAAAGTAGATAACCCACCTACTTATACAGAGGGCCAATTACCTCACCCTGATACTTTACTTACTCACTTAGAGGTTGTTGTTTCTAACCAAAGAAACCTCTTTCCCCAAACAGAGTCCCTGCGCACTAAACCAGAAAACCCACCTACTCATACTAAAGGTCAATTACCTCACCCTGATAACTCACCTACTCACATAGAGTTAGGTACTTCTGCCCACCAAAACCTTTTTCCCCCAAACGAGCCTCCGCCTACTAAACTCGATAACCTACCTACTCATACAAAGGACCAGTTAACTCACCCACAAAACTCACCTGCTCATGTTGAGGTTGTAGATTATAACCATGGTAACTTCTTTCCCCACACAGAGCAACTGCCTACTAAACCAGATATCCCACCTACTCATACTAATGGTCAGTTAACTCACCTAGACAACTCACCCACTAACGCTAAGCTTGTGGTTTCTGGGTACCGGAACATTTTTCCCCATACAGAGCCTCCACCTACAAAACTAGAAAACCCACCTACTCACACCAAGGACCAAATACCTCACCCTGATAACTTACCTACTCAAGTAAAGGTTGTTGTTTCTAACCATGGGAACCTCTTTCCCCAGACAGAGCCTCTACCTACTAAATCAGAAAACCCACCTACACACACCAAGGACCAATTACCTCACCCCGATAACTCACCTACTCACATAGAGTTGGGTGCTTCTGTCCACCGGAACCTCTTTCCCCATACAGAGTCCCCACCTAATACAATAGGTAACCCACCTTTTAATACAGAAGGCCCAATAACTAGCCCTGATAACTCACTTACTCACATTGAGGCTACTGTTTCTAACAAAGGGAATCTCTTTCCCCAAACAGCGCCCCCACCTCCTAAACCAGGTATTACTTCTACTCAGACCAAGGGTCAATTAACTCACCCACACCACTCACCCACTCACACTGAGCTTGCTGTTTATAACCAAAGAAACTGCTCTGCCAACACAGAGACCTCACCTACTAAACCAGAAAACCCACCTATTCATACCAAGGGCCAGTTACCTCAACTTGATAACTCACCTACTCAAATAGAGTTTGGTGCTTCTGCCCACGGGAACCTCTTTCCCCACACAGAGTCCCCACCTAATACACTAGGTAACCCACCTTTTAATACAGAAGGCCCAATAACTCACCCAGATAACTCACTTACACACATTGAGGTTGCTGTTTCTAATCAAGAGAACCTCTTTCCCCTCACAGACTCCCCACCTACTAAACCAGATAACCCACCTATTTATACCGAGGGCCTATTAACTCACCCAGATAACTCACCTACTCACACTGAGGTTGACGTTTTTAACCAAGGGAATCTCTTTCGCCAAACAGAGCCCCCACCAACTGAACCAGATAACCAACCTACTTTTACTGAGGGCCCATCATCTCACCCAGATGACTCACCTACTCATGTTGAGGTTGTTGTTTCTAACCAAAGAAACTTATCTACCAACACAGAGCCCTCGCCTACTAAACCAGAAGACCCACCTACAAATACCAAGGACCAATTACCTCACCTTGATAACTCACCTACTCACATAGAGTTTGGTGCTTCTGCCCACCGGAACCTCTTTCCCCACGCGGAGTCCCCACCTACTGAACCGGATAACCAACCTATGTATACCGAGAGCCCATTTACTCACCCAGATGACTCACCTACTAGCACTGAGGTTGCTGCTTCTGCCCACGGGAACCTCTTTCCCCACACTGATTCCCCACCCAATACACTAGGTAACCCACCTTTTAATACAGAAGGCCCTATAACTCACCCAGATTACTCACTTTCTTACAACGAGGTTGACGTTTCTAACCAAGAGAACCTCTTTCCCCTCACAGAGTCCCCACCTACTGAATCTGATAACCCACCTATTTATACCGAGGGCCTATTAACTCACCCAGATAACTCACCTACTCACACTGAGGTTGACGTTTTTAACCAAGGGAATCTCTTTCGCCAAACAGAGCCCCCACCAACTGAACCAGATAACCAATCTACTTTTACTGAGGGCCCATCATCTCACCCAGATGACTCACCTACTCATGTTGAGGTTGTTGTTTCTAACCAAAGAAACTTATCTACCAACACAGAGCCCTCGCCTACTAAACCAGAAGACCCACCTACACATACCAAGGACCAATTACCTCACCTTGATAACTCACCTACTCACATAGAGTTTGGTGCTTCTGCCCACCTGAACCTCTTTCCCCACGCGGAGTCCCCACCTACTGAACCGGATAACCAACCTATGTATACCGAGAGCCCATTTACTCACCCAGATGACTCACCTACTAGCACTGAGGTTGCTGCTTCTGCCCACGGGAACCTCTTTCCCCACACTGATTCCCCACCCAATACACTAGGTAACCCACCTTTTAATACAAAAGGCCCTATAACTCACCCAGATTACTCACTTACTCACAACGAGGTTGACGTTTCTAACCAAGAGAACCTCTTTCCCCTCACAGAGTCCCCACCTACTGAATCTGATAACCCACCTATTTATACCGAGGGCCTATTAACTCACCCAGATAACTCACCTACTCACACTGAGGTTGACGTTTTTAACCAAGGGAATCTCTTTCGCCAAACAGAGCCCCCACCAACTGAACCAGATAACCAATCTACTTTTACTGAGGGCCCATCATCTCACCCAGATGACTCACCTACTCATGTTGAGGTTGTTGTTTCTAACCAAAGAAACTTATCTACCAACACAGAGCCCTCGCCTACTAAACCAGAAGACCCACCTACACATACCAAGGACCAATTACCTCACCTTGATAACTCACCTACTCACATAGAGTTTGGTGCTTCTGCCCACCGGAACCTCTTTCCTACTCACACTGAGGTTGACGTTTTTAACCAAGGGAATCTCTTTCGCCAAACAGAGCCCCCACCTACTGAACCGGATAACCAACCTATGTATACCGAGAGCCCATTTACTCACCCAGATGACTCACCTACTAGCACTGAGGTTGCTGCTTCTGCCCATGGGAACCTCTTTCCCCACACTGATTCCCCACCCAATACACTAGGTAACCCACCTTTTAATACAGAAGGCCCTATAACTCACCCAGATTACTCACTTACTCACAACGAGGTTGACGTTTCTAACCAAGAGAACCTCTTTCCCCTCACAGAGTCCCCACCTACTGAATCTGATAACCCACCTATTTACACCGAGGGCCTATTAACTCACCCAGATAACTCACTTACTCACACTGAGGTTGATGTTTCTAACCAAGGGAATCTCTTTCCCCAAACAGAGCCACCACCTACTGAACCTGAAAAACAGCCTATTTATACCGAGGGCCTATTAACTCACCCTGATAACTCACTTACTCACACTGAGGTTGATGTTTCTAACCAAGAGAACCTCTTTCCCCAAACAGAGCCGCCACCTACTGAACCTGAAAAACAGCCTATTTATACCGAGGACCCATTGACTCACCCAGATAACTCACTTACTCACACTGAGGTTGATGTTTTTAACCAAGGGAATCTATTTCCCCAAACAGAGCCCCCAACAACTCAACCAGATAACCAACCTACTTTTACCGAGGGCCCATCAACTCACCCAGATGACTCACCTACTCATGTTGAGGTTGTTGTTTCTAACCAAAGAAACTTCTCTACCAACACAGAGCCCTCACCTACTAAGCCAGAAAACCCACCTACACATACCAAGGACCAATTACCTCACCCTGATAACTCACCTACTCACATAGAGTTTGCTGTTTCTAACCAAAGAAACGTATCTACCAACACAGAGCCCTCGCCTACTAAACCAGAAAACCCACCAAGGCATACCAAGGGCCAATTACCTCACCTTGATAGCTCACCTACTCACATAGAGTTTGGTGCTTCTTCCCACTGGAACCTCTTTCCCCACACAGAGTCCCCTACTGAACCAGATAACCAACCTAGGTATACCGAGGGCCCATTACCTCACCCAGATAACTCACTAAATCACAATGAGGTTGCTGTTTCTAACCATGGCAATCTCTTCCCTCACACAGAGCTTCCACTTACTGAACCAGATAACCAACCTATGTCTATCGAAGGCCCATTAACTCACCCAGATGACTCACCTACTCACACTGAAGTTGCTGTTTCTGCCCACCGGAACCTCTTACCCCACACAGAGCCTCAACCTACTAAGCCAAATAACCCACCTGCTAATACCAAAGGCCCTGCACCTCACCCAGATAACTCTACTGACAACTTTGTCATCTCTTCAGCCCAAGAGAATGTTCCCTCTCAACACCTTCATTGTGACATTGGCTGTATCTGCAAGAAGGAAAAATGCAAACCACTAGTTGGAGCATTCTGCCCAAAGTGTGATTCCGAAGGGAACTTCCTACCCCAGCAATGCTTCGAGTCTACAGGGTACTGCTGGTGCGTCAACATCATCACCGGAATTCCAATCCCCGGCACAGAAACACCACCAGGAATAAAACCACTGAACTGTGGTGAGTGGTTAAAGATTATGCTGTGCTATTTCTGCTGTTTAGTGGTACAGATTACTCAGCATGGACGTCTGATGACAACAGACTACCAGTAATATCAGCCCACATTAGTATAGTATATTAATTACTATTGTATTATTATTATTATTATTATTATTATTAGTAGTAGTAGTAGTAGTAGTAATAGTAGTAAAAGTAGTATTATAGTAGAATTAATTTCACACAGCCATAAAATTCCAATAAAAACTTATTATAATTTTTGACAAGCTTTTGTACAATCAATGTTTCTTGATGGCCACTCAAAGAAATATCTCCATACTGCGAAGGTTGGTGTCAAAACATGAACTTGAAATGGTTCCCCATGCCTTTATCGCCTCCCGTCCAGATTACTGTTACACACTCTTCACAGGTTTTAACAAAAAAGCCCTTGACCGCCTTCAGTTGGTCCAGAACTCTGCAGCGATGCTCCTAACTGGAGAAGACAGACGAGCTCACATCACTCCTATTCTGACGTCTCTGCACTGGTTACCCGTTAACTTTAGAGTTCATTTTAGAATCAAGGCTCTACATGGTCAAGCTCCTTCTTATATTACTGAAGTGTTAAAGCCTTACGCCTGGTGCACACCAGAGGCGGACGTGCTGTGTCGCACCCACGCCGCCATTTTAAATAGAAGCCATTATAGTTAATGAGAGTGGGCACACGGAGAGTGCCGCGCTGCGTCCCAGAAGCGCCGCGCCTAGGCACTGAAGATAGGCACCAGTTCTATCTCAAGCATCGTAGTGCGGTGGTTTACAATACTGCTACAATACTTTACAACAGACATTACGATGTGGAACGGCTTTACGGCACAAACCCAACTGCAGTTTTGATAACTTTAAAGAACTATTGATCTTAAAATAATCTAATAAATAGTGTACCTACTCATCGTTAATTAATTAGTCTCACAAAACACGACGGCAAGTCTGATCACGTATGAACAATAGAGTCACTTCCCGCTTCCTGTTCTCAAGTCCAGCATGATGTTGTGACTATCGTGCAACTTTTGAAGAAGCGCTCAGCGGCACGGCGCGTCCTGCGTGACCGTTTGACTTCTCAAAACCTCGGGCATGATGCAGCGCGTCCACCTCCGGTGTGCTTCAGTCTTTATGCTCCAACCAGAGCCCTCAGTTCCACACATCAGAACCTTCTAGAAGTTGGCATGTATAATTAAGTGAGTGTCCCACACCTTTAACTGAGATTTAGATCATGTGTGTTTCTGTGGTTTTTAGAAAAGCCAGCAGAAAATTCAGATGAGAGAAAAGAAAAACATGACAACAAGAAAAAGGAACGGTCCAGTGAAGAGGATTCAGATGAAGAAAAGTCAGATGAAATGGACAACTGTCCAGAAGATTGGTCCAGCTTCGACGATCGATGTTTTATCTTCAACGAGAATGAGAAGACTTGGGCTGAAGCCGAGGTGAGGGTCGGGTGGAGGGACCAGGACTCCTCAGTGGTGACATAGGTGTTTGTGCCTGCTGGTGAATTTAAAAAATGACGAAATTAATATCTTTTTATTTCTGTGCAGTTTTACTGTCAGTTTGATGGAGGAAACTTGGCATCAGTCCACAGTTTTGAGGAGAATGTCTTCATCCAGTCTTTGACCAGAGGAGATTCTCACAACTTCCCAGAAACCTGGCTCGGAGGAGCTAGTGCAGCACGCGTGAGGAGATATTTAATATGTTGGCTCTAGTTTCCCTTCACAATTTTAAATAATGGTCAGATTGTTAAAGGAATTTTTCATTTCAACTGTTCCTTCAGATATGAACAATAAAGACTTCCTTTATGTCTTCTGCTCTGAAAAACTGAGTTTATGTCTGAGGGCTGATGCCTAAGGGCTAGCATGGGAGTAAGTTTAGCTGCTCTCTTTGACAAGCTCCAATACGCAAAACGTCGTTAAGGTTCACAGCCTTTATTTTACAATAGGAATGTGAGGATTTAGAGATACACAACAGGGTTAGTCCAGAATCAACGCTATTTTCTGATTCAGATACAATGTTTTAGTTTTCTTTTGCTCTAAAATGTGATCCATTTAGGGTTGGGGTTATTTTAGGATCACCAAAAGCATCTGTATGTCGTTTTGTTTCATCAGGTTAGCAGTAAAACTCTAAAGTGTCGACTTGTTTGTGTTTGAAAAGACATCTTCTACAGGACTTCTGCTGCCATTTCTTGCAGTGTAACGGAGCCGGTGCAGCGTTGGAACAAACAGAAATTAAAAACTGTCTCTCACACCAGATCTATTTATAAAGTGTTCTTTGTTAACTCTTTAAAGAGACTAAATAATTATATTGGGGGTTCCGCAGGGCTCAATTCTCGGACCACTGCTTTTTGCAATTTATTTGTTGCCATTGGGGTCCATCTTCCACGGGCATGGCACTAAGTTCCACTTATATGCTGATGACTGTCAGATCTATTCTCCACTGTCTCTGGGGAACAGAGCATCTTTTTTGACCCTTGAGACCTGTGTAAATGACATCAAGGCATGGCTTACAGCTAATTTCCTGTACCTTAATGAACGTAAAACGGAATTTATCATGTTTCACCCAAGCTGCAGCTCAGATTCAGTTGCTATTGTCGATCCGTGCACCTTCTCATCCCTCCAGAAGCCGTTGTCACTAGCCTGGGGGTGAGACTTGACTCTGGTCTGAAATTGGACTCTCATGTCAACTCAGTGGCCCGTTCTTGCTTTTTCAGTTATGTCGCCTTACTAAACTCAAGCCTATTCTTTCAAGAACCCACTTGGAGCATGTACTCCATGTGTTTGTGATCTCCAGGCTTGACTATTGTAACTCCCTCTATGCTGGGCTGGGACAGATTATTGTGCATCACCTGCAATTAGTTCAGAAGAGTGCAGCTAGGTTTTTGACTGGAACTAGGAAAAGGGACCACATTTCCCCAGTGCTGGCCTCCCTTCACTGGCTCCCAGTCTCATACCGGGCACAGTTTAAAATTCTGCTTTTTGTGTTTACGTTTTTCCAAGGCAGTGCCCCCACGGAGCTCTAAATAAATCATGTTCCCTCATGATCACTGCGGTCGGCTGACCAGAAATTGCACCCGATTTAAGACTCGTGGTGATCGGGCTTTTCAAGTCCTTGCACCCTCTTTCTGGAACCAGCTCCCGTTCACAAACAGTCCCCATCACTGGCAGTCTTTAGAATCAGGTTGAAGACTCATTTTTATAGAATGGCTTTTTATTCTTTGTATTGATTTCTTTTAACTACTTTATTTTAATTTTCTTTTATCTAAATGCCATCTCATTTGCATGTTATAGTTCTAACTAATGTCTATGTTCTTAATTTTGTTTTGAGTGTTTTATGACTTGCTACCCCTTTTTATCTTTGTAACTTTTTCTGTTCAGCACCTTGGGCCCCCTTTGAGGGTGGTGGGAGGCGCTATATAAATAAAGCATGATGATGATGATGATGATATTATTTAGCCTGGCAACGCTCCATTGACGGCTGTTGGTCGGGTGGTGGGTTCTACCTTTGTTTTTCAAACTCTGCATGCTACTGGACAACGAACAACGTGACATACTTACCACAACAAACGTCGGTAAACGAGGCAGTCCACTGTTTAAGAAAACACATAATTTTATCTAAATAAAGGACTTAAATACATCTAATAAAGCCCAAGTCCAAATGTAAAAGCCGTTTCAAACAAGCTGTCGCCATTTTGTTCCACTTATCCTGCCCACCAGATGAATAGAGGGCCCTGATTGGCCCACAAAGTGGGCAGAGCTCTGGAACAGTCACAGTGCTCTGTCAGTTTGAAACACCTGTAGATACCTGTGACTGGCCAGCCAGAATGCTGCTAGGGGCTGCAGAGGTTCCAATGGAGCTTTGCAAACTTTGCTAAGCAAGATCTTGGTCTAGTTCACTAGACTAGTTGTTATCTCTTTTTTTTTCCAAACATTTTCTTTAAATTGTACTTAATTAGTTTTTTACTTAATAAATGTTGCTTTTGCTTCCACAGCCTGACTTTTGGTTGTGGACTGATGGTTCCAACTTTCACTATGAAAACTGGCAGGATGCCGATCACAAAGATAAGGATGAGCTCTGTCTGAAGACCAACTATGAATGTGAGGATGTGGCACCACACATGTGAACAATATACAGAAGAATGCATACATCATAAAGTCTACACATTGTCACATTTATGAATCATTTTGTTGTTTTCTGTCTGTTCTGTAGTCAATTTGAAGTGGACGGCTGCTCCCTGCAACCAAACTCTGCCTTTTGTCTGCTCCAAGAGCCTCAAAGACGACGATGACTAACATCTGAGAAGAAACTGAATGCATGAATCTGACAGCAAACGCTCATGTTTTAATTTAATTCAAGTAAAATAATCTGTATCTGACATTAGTTTAGAGAACCCTTTCCTTGTGTAACAGTCTTCTGTGCTTTAAGCATAATAAAATAATTTAGTAAAAGATGTGATGATGTTTTTATTTAAAGGGACTTTACGGACTTTTGAATTGTTATGCTTGTGATTGCCCCCTCAGGCCAAAAGCGTAACGGCAGCTTCAATAGTAGGCTCATGCACGAGGCGTGCATGCTGTACGTGCACACTCCTTAACGAAAATAACAGCTGAGACAGTCCCGTGTGTGTGTGTGTGTGTGTGTGTGTGTGTGTGTGTGTGTGTGTGTGTGACCCGGAGGACAGAGGACAGGAGAACGCGCAGCTAATTAATTAAATAATTTGGTTCTGTACCTTTCTCTTCAGCACAGCCGACAAAGGTTTATGATGGGTCAGTCCTCCTGCATGCTCAGATCATTCCCTTCCCTTGCTTGAAAAATTGTTCCAAAATGAAAGTTGAACCCACATCTTTTTTATCCGTGAATTCAATGCCGTTCGGCGAGTCTCAAATAAAAATGTGGGCATCTTACTGTAAAAAAATATACCATTAACGTAAAAAAGAAACTCTACAAAAACTATGTTGACATCCAGAATCAAACCCAGGTCTTCTGCATAGGAGTCTGACATCTTACAAGGTGAGCCACACACTAGTAACATTCACAGTATCTGTAACGTTTATATCCTTGATGACACCTGAAACAACGTCAAATCAAAGAACGGGTTGGAGCGAAAATGGCTATTTTGTAGCTAATTTGCAGGAAATATCTAGAAGAAAGTTCTACAGAAAGTAGCTAAGGGTCCTCAGAAATGTAGCTAGGTTCATCACTAGGCGTTAGGAACAGCGACAAAGTCGCTGAGTTGGCACCATCGACTACCTCTCTCTCTGCTGCTAAAGCTACGGATAGCAAATGCTACGGGCTATGCCTGAGCGTGAACGCGCATGAAGCAGCCTGCTCGACCCGAGCATCTCTCTTTTTCTGTGATTTTACAGAAAAATAGGCAATCACAGTAAAAATGCCAGGGCTCATTCTACAGGACCAGGGCATTGCAGGAGAATGTATGAAGAAGACATTTATTATTTCTATACATGTTTTGGCTGTCAAACTTCCATAATGCCCCTTTAAGTAAATAATTAAAAGCACATAGTGGAAATATTTAGAACATTCATTCACATCTAATGGTTCTACATGGGAGCACATCATCTGTTTGAGAGAATGCAGTGCTGATTTCTGGATCTGCTCGGGGTCCTGTGCCGGCCAAGGACGTCATCATACTACGGCAACACCACTTGACCAAAATATATTGCATGTTTTTTTTAAGTCTGTTCTTTCACACGGGTTTTGGAAAACAGTTTAGCAGTTTTGTTATTAAATTAGGGATTCTTACTACCTAAATGTTTTAAAATATACTAACATTGTAAAGTTGTATTTTGCTGTTTTATTGTGTACTACTTTCTTTTATTCTCTTTTCCAGCCTCTTTTATTTCATAAGAAGCAGAGGTGTGGACTCGAGTCACATGACTTGGACTCGAGTCAGACTCAAGTCATTATTTTAATGACTTCTGACTTGACTTGATAAAATCTATATAGACTTACAACTTGACTTGGACTTGAACGCCAATGACTTGCAACTTGAATCAACTTGCATCTGTTGACTTGATGATGACTTGAGCATATTTGATATTTTAGCACAAAAGTGGCAAAACATGGACAAAAATCATGAATCATTCTTGGTTGTGGGTTTGATTTACTGCTAAATGCAGCAGCACTTTGTTCATAATCAGTTTCACTTTCTGCTTGTTTGAGCAAATAAACGAAGCTTTAAGAAACTTCATTTCTGGAATTTATTTATTATCATTGTCATAAAATTGAAGTTGGACAGATGACTTGATTGTGACTTGAAAATTCAAAGTTAAGGACTTGGACTTGGTTGTCTTTGACTTGGACTACTTGACTGGAAAGACTTGTGACTTACTTGTGACTTGGTCACACCTCTGAAAAGAAGCATTATAAAGGTGATTTATTAGGGAAAAAAAGTAGAATTAATAATAAATGCACCTGGAAAATGATCAATTAAACAATGAAAAAGAAAAAAGCTGTTAAAGTGTGGTTAGGAACACAAACAAAAATACAATCATTAAAAAAACAAGCTGACATCAGAGAACTTCATTCCCCTAGTTAGTTCATTGTGCCCACCAAAAAATAAATGAGTTAAGCTGATGAGCAACATCACTGTTCACTCGTTTGATTTATGCCCTGTCCACACGTAGCCGGGGATCTGCCAAAACGTAGATATTTTTCTACGTTTTGGCCTGTCATCCACACGAAAACGGAGTTTTTTCACACGAAAACGGATCTTTTTAAAAACTCCGGCCAAAGTGAAGATCTGCGTTTTCTCCGTTTTGGGTGTCTGCGTGTGGACAGACAAAACCGGAGTTTTAAGGTCCGCAACGTCACTTTCCGCGACAAAAAAATGCTGACATCACGTGTGCGACCTGTGTTTACACTAGCCGACAGCATGGATGCCTCAGAGCTGCGCTCGCTTTATCAATTGTCCAAGCGCTTTTTGCTTGTTTGTTTTTGCAAGCGGAATTACTGCTGCTTTCGGAAGACCACAGACGAAGGACGAGGTTAAGAACGGGGGAAGTACTGCCACCTACAGGTCTGGCATGTCCTTAACAACGTATTTATCCGGGTACGTGTGGACAGAGTTTTTGTTTTTAAATGAGGTGGTGTGGATGCAAGTTTTTGGAGGGGCGGATATTCGTTTTTAAAAAAACCCGGCTAAGTGTGGACTAGGCCTTAGTCTGAGTCATTTTTTCACCTGGGAGTTAAAACGTGTCAAATTCATGAACATCAATGTATTTCTTACTTTTTCATTGATGAACCGTAACAAGTATTTCTTCTTCATTTGTGTTTTTGATAAAAAAAATTCACTAAGTAATTTCTTTGGCATTATTATTGTTTGTGTGTGTGTGTGTGTGTGTGTGTGTGTGTGTGTGTGTGTGTGTGTGCACCCTAAAACTTGGTTTAAGAGGTTTGGTGTGAATTACCTTTTAGTTTAGGTCAGTTTAGAATATGGTTAGGAAAAGAACCCCATTGGTTAATGTTACGGCTGCCAGCCTGGCCAGTGGGATGCAGGAGCCAGGCTCACCCAACCCTGGTGATCAGCCCGACACCGCCCCTCCTCCTCCTCTCTTCCAGGCTGCTGAGGAGCACAGCTGAGCTGAATCCTGTTGATGACCCACACCTGGCATAAAAAGGCTGTGCCTTCAGCAGTCTGGGAGGCAGATTCTTCCTGAGGCATCTGTTGGTTTAACTTTGTTGGAGAGAAAAAAATAAAAAATAAAAAATAAGGATGGGTCGCTCATACTAAACTCACATACAGCACAGGATTATATCGATTGCTATTGTAACTTTGTAAAAATATATACAGATGCATCAAAGAATACTGCAGATCATATTGGCATAGCTTTTATTGTTCCTGAGTTTCATGTTAGAGTAAAAAAGAGGGTGAGTGATGGATTATCGGTATACACAGGAGAAATGCTCGCTATACTGTTAGCTGTTCAATGGGTGGAAGACAACAGACCATTATTCTCTTATTTGTTCAGACTCCAGCTCATCATTGACCAGTTTAAAGTACAGCTGTTCAGAAAGCAGACCAGACATACTACTAGAGATTCAGCTAACACTTTATAGGATAAGCATGATGGGACTTGTAATACATTTTTTATGGATTCCAGCTCATTGTGGAATCAGAGGTAATGAAGGAGTCCATAAGTTGGCTAAGGAAGCAACAATAAATACATCGGTTCAGTTGGATATTCACTATTGTCAAAGAGAGATCAAGAGCATAATAAGGCAAGAAATGAAGAAGAAATGGCAAAAACAATGGGAGGAGGAAAGGAGGGGAAGATGGTTGTATGACATTCAGAGAAGAGTAGGAGAAATGAGAAACACTGGACGGAGTGGGAGAGAGGAGGTGATCATTGCTAGGCTAAGGTTTGGACATACTGGATTAAATAATACATTATTCATGATAGGGAAACATAATACAGGGAAATGTGATTATTGTGGAGAAGACGAAACAATAGATCATGTTATGTTACATTATCAGAAATATCAGGCGGAAAGAAGGTTCACGCTCTTGGTCAGCTGAAAGTGAGACTGGATCTTGTTGATTTATTGAGACAAAATTCAAGGAGTGACTGTTTTCAGATTTTATTTCGGTTTTTCAGAGAGACAAGGGTGTTTGGGAGACTTTGAGGTTTTTTTTTTCTTTTTTTTTTTTCTTTCCCTGTTTGGTTTTGTTTTGTGAGCGCTGTTCCAGACCACACTCCACACTAGTTGGTGGCGGTAATGCACCATTGGTTGTTTGCCAACCGCCATTAAAACTCCAAAAGAAGAAGAAGTCTGGGAGGCAGCAGTGCAGGGGTTCTGCTGTCCTCCAGGCCTCGTTTTGGTTTTAACCCCTTTGTTTGAAAAGAGTTCGTTTTTTAAAGTTTTAACTCTGAGTTATGAGCTTTTGAAGGGAGAAGCTCTTAGAGGATCCAGAAGGATCTTTTGATGTTGTCGGGTAAAAGGTTAACTTGGTTTGATGCAATTTTATTGACTCCGGTTTTAAACACCTTCTGTGTTGGTAAAACTTTTAATATAAGTTTTAATCAGGTGTTTTTATAGTTGGTAATTGGTGTAATGTAAACCTTTTAGAGTTTTTTTGTTTTGTTTTGCATTATCACAATGCTCACCATCTGTTTGCTCTTGTTTTTATAACCTTTTACAACAATTTAAACTATTTTAACTCCACTGTCTTATTTCTTATGTTACCCCCTCCTTCGCATTTTAACACCTCCTGTCGGGGACGTAAAAGTTAAGGTTAAGGTTAGTGTATGGGTTAGTCATAGTGGAGTCATTAAAATGAATGGAAGTCAATGGAGGTGCACACAGACATATAAATACGTGTGTGTGTACTTGTCTGGAAGAGAAAGTTGAGAGACGCAAGAGCCAACACTCTGGATGAGCTTAAGGCCGCTATCGAAGCATCCTGGGCCTCCATAACACCTCAGCAGT